TCAAGCACAAGCTCCCTGTGATCATTGACAATGATCTCCTCCCTCTTAGTCTTGCACTGAGCTGGGACAAAACCATCAATGAACGCCACTAGTTTATCGTAGCCAGCTTGATCATCAGGTTCCAGTTGATCCACCCTCACAGTGTAATAGTTTGTACCCTGCTCAAAATGATCTAAACTCTAGTGAAAATGAAACTTCAGGATCAACTTCTTCCTTTTCTTCCCGTGCTCTTTGCAAAGGGGATTCCCATTTGGCCCTACTATGTACACCCGGTCAAACACAGAGTGGATGGTCGTCGATGACACGGGTTAGATGAGGTAGTACATGTCCTTGAAAGTGTGGACTAAATTCGAGAATGCCTTGAACGGCCTTCTCAGATGCTTCAGTGAAACCAAGTTGTGTTGCCCTTTTGAAGATTATCGCTGAAGGTGGAAACAGTGAAAAACAATGGAATGGTAGCACCAATATCGAGGTACCAATAAATGAGATCGAATTCCCGGATAAAGGTGGTCGAGTTTGGATGAAGTTGATAGGGTGCCAGCTCCAGATGATTAATGATTCCCACCTGAAAATCACTAAAGGGCAGTAGTAAATCCACCTCTCTGAAATAATACTCGTACATCACGAAGTGATTCCTCATAAATACTAAGCATACTCATTGGTCGGGTCCATGCTCTATAACCGCCCAATTCTCATCAGATTCGGCGCGACTAACACCCTCCCCCATGATGGTAAAAGCTTCCTCTGGGTGAAGAGCAAAACCCGAAGCCACTTCTCGGGGGCCCTCCCCGACCCAAGTCAGGTTGGGGACAATAGTTGTATCATTATCCTCATCACGTTGGACCATTTTAATATGAAAAGCAGAGGAAAACGGTGAATTCAACGATCAAATTAAATCCACCCTTCCACCGTAAATCAAGTGAAAGGGCGCAGAAGGGTGAGGACGAAACCCTCGACCAAAGACCTCTGCCGGAAACGACAAAGACGGGGAGACATCCCCACGACCAACACTTTAGTATAATAATGGCTAAAGACTCATCATTGAAGCCTAGCATCAGACCCCACGGGGAAGGAAATCTCTGACATGTGGGATATGAACACCAAATGAAGCTCATCGGAAACTTCATGAGACTCATCGGAATTTTCACGAGGCTCATTGAAAAACACATGTGATTCATTGAAAAGTTCATAGGGTTCGTCATGAAACCAATGTTCGGCATGACGACCTCCACATGCACCATCAGCTCCAATCCTATTGGCCGCTCTAAATAATGTCGGAATACCCTCCAGGGAGGATTATGAGGCAGCCACCATTTAAAAAATGGCTTAACCACCACTAAACACCAATAATTCGCCGAACATAACCCTAAAAAGCTCACCTAACTGGAATTCTAACTAATATGTTGACCACTCTGAATGTACAAATCAAGAAAGAGCTAAGGAACTTACTTGATTTACGACAGGAAGAAGGTGTTCCGACGACAAGAGCAGCAACAACGAAGATAGAATTCTCAAAGAGGCAGGAGCAATTGAAGAAGAAAAATGGGGAAACTTTGCAAATGATTTCTCTTTTCCCTTATTTATAATCCATTTCTAGGGCACGGGGACACGTGCCTATAACTAGGGAAGTGTATCTCCAGTAACCATAGTCTAGATAGCCATCATTGCACATGCAATGCAACATGTGGCCCTAGGAACGTAATGTGTCACTTTCAAAATTCCAAAAGCTTTCAGTCTCCTTAAACGATGAACACACCTCGTCGAGCACGAATGGAAAACTCCCACATTCTCACGCGAGCACGGCCTTAGAGAAAAACTTGGAGCAAATCCAAGAGTCGTTGGGAAAACTACGAGCAAAGCCAAATGTTTGACATTGGCTTAAACTGACCAAGAACCTGTCACAAAGTTTCTCCGTTTCGGTCAATGGACGTGAACATAGCATTTTCCTCCTCGATACACGGGATGATTTTAAGTCATTACTCATGTGCCCATAAACAACAACTTAGGGGGCTCCTGTTCTAGACTGACTCATCAACTAAACGCGGCCCAATTCACTCCTACTCTAAAACGGCCTAAAAGCATTGGCCCAATCAGCATGGGGCCAACAAAAGGCGTGTTTCCCTTCTGCCCGACAGCTGGGGACACGTGTTTGGGTTACCCCAGAGTCGATTAGACCATGTCTACCCGTGACTGCACCTCTTCCTGTGATAACGACTAGTTTCATACATCTCTGCCTGTGACAACGGCTAGTCTCGGGTATCTCTTCCTAGAATAACGAGCATGAGCTGCTCATTCTTGCTTACACGCAGAAATCCGAGAAGTTACCTATTTTTGAGCCTAATATATAGGCCCAAAAATAGGAACCAATAGCCAAGCGTCAGGCATTATATAAATCCTCACACTTGTGAGGGTCAGGTATTCAATATTCACTTCTAAAACTATATATTCTCTTTAGTATCTCTTTTCACTCTTACATACTTGAGCATGGGAGTGTCTTGCATGTACACCCCTCTTCCGTGATTTCAGCTTTACAAACGCATTTATCAGTCCATTACAGGTTCTGGTCACTGGTAAGATCAGTAATGATAATTTGTCTTTTTGTTAACAATTATTTATAATAATAAAATTCCATACACCTTCCATCTAATCTAAGTGCACTAAAATAAACTTGATTTAATGTTCACATCTCAAGACGTCAGACTAAAGTCATGAACACAATCCAAAAGAATGAAAATGGCATATCAAAGTGCACCGAAATCAACTTGATTTAATATTCACATCTCAAGATAAGATCAAGACGTCACACTTAAGTCATAAATGAAATTCAGAAAAATTTTAAAAAAACATCTCTAAGTGCACCGACATCAACTTGATTTAATGTTCACATCTCAAGATAAGATTAAGACCTCACACTAAAGTCATAAACAAAATCCAAAAGAACTAAAAAAGCATCTCTAAGTGCACTGAAATTAACTTAATTAAATGTGCACATCTCAAGATCAAGATGTCACACCGAAGTTAAGAACAAAATCTAAAAGAATGAAAAAGTATCCCTAAGTGCACTTAAATCAACTTGATTAAATGTGCGCATTTCAAGATAAGATTAAGACGTCATACTGAAGTCATGAACGAAATCCAATAGAATGAAAAAGAAATATTTAAGTGCACCGAAATCAATTTGATTAAATGTTCATATCTCAAGATAAGATTAAGACGTCACACCGAAGTTATAAACAAAGTTTAAAAGAATGGAAAAAGTATCTTTAAGTGCATCGAAATGAACTTGATTAGATGATCACATCTCAAAATAAGATCAATATATCCACAGAAGTCATGAACAAACCCTAAAAGAATAAATAAAAAAAATCATTTGAATATCAAACATGAAATTATTGCAAGTTCAGCCTTTTAAAATAGTCTTGAATTCATAGTAACCACAAACCCTAAAACTAATAAAGTAGAATTTACACCAATAATTTTTTAAATTATTTGGAACTCACATTTTAACGTCTAAAATCAGAAATCACTCCCCCATCTAGGATGCACAAAAAAATAATATTAATAACTTAGATTCTTTAAAGTGATAATAATTTGTCTTTCTGTTAACAATTCTTTATAATAATAAACGTTCGTACACCTACCATCTAATCTAAGTGCACCGAAATCAACTTAATTTAATGTTCACATCTCAAGATGACAGACTGAAGTCATGAACTAAATCCAAAAGAATGAAAAAGGCATATCAAAGTGCACCGAAATCAATTTGATTTAATGTTCACATCTCAAGATAAGATCAAGACGTCACACTTAAGTCATAAATGAAATCCAAAAGAATTTAAATTAAAAAAAAACATCTTTAAGTGCACCGACATCAATTTGATTAATTGTCCACGTTTCAAGATAAGATCAAGACGTCACACTAAAGTCATAAACGAAAAATCTAAAAGAATGAAAAAAGCATCTCTAAGTGCACCGACATCAACTTGATTAAATATTCACATCTCAAGATAAGATCAAGACGTCACACCAGAATCAATAATGAAATTCAAAAGAAAGAGGGGGAAAAAGCATCTTTATGTACATCAAAATCAACTTAATTACATCTCAAGATAAGATCAATACATCATATATGTCACACAGAAGTCAAGAACGGAATTCAAAAGCAGGAAAATAAACATCTTTAAATACACTGAAATCAATTTAATTACAACTTAAAATAAGATCAATACATCACACCAAAATCATAAACGAAATCCAAAAGAATAAATAAAAAACATTTGAATGTGAAACATGAGATTACTTAGATTCAAATATTAGAATTTTAAAGTCACTTTCCATTCTAAGATAATAAAAAATTACTATCCAAATCGATATTTAGTCTCATGTCAGCATAAAGACATTGCCACCTTCAAGCTTCTTTAAAGTACTCTTTAATTCTGAGTAAATCCAACCCTAAAACTACTAAAGGTAAAATTTTACACCCATATCTTCCCCAATGTTGCATGCACAAAAAATTAATATTATTAGCTCACATTCTTTAAACCTATGATAATTTGTCTTTTTGTTAACAACTTTTCTTATTATAATAAAAATCCATTCCTTACCATACATCATAATCTAAAATCCTTGACCCCCTCAACATATTCCACCGAATCCTTCCAATAACTTAGCTTTCACCTCTCTCCACGTGGCACTTACACCCTCTTCATAGGCCCGTGCCGGTTCCGATTAGTCATCATATTCAAACATATAATATAATAATACTTGTCACATTATTTTACTATACTAGATTCAATAAATCATTAATACACGGTCACCAATCAATAATTCTTCTTCTATACACCACCTATATTGATGTAAACTTGGCTTTAAATTGACTTGCATAACAACCATAAGTTAGTTGAGAAGCCCTTAGAAAAGACCCTCTTGGGTGCTATACTTTTCTCATTGGAGCAAATTTTCTTTTTTTTTTTTTGGTTGAGTTTGTGAAAGAGTGAGAAATGGGGAATTGTCAAACTGTAGATGCTGCAGCACTAGTGATCCAGCATCCTAGTGGGAAGATAGAGAGATTGTATTGGTCAGTGAGTGCAAGTTATGTCATGAAGGCTAATCCTGGTCATTATGTATCACTGATCATGCCATTGCCACAAGGCGAAAATTTTAATAATGAGGAGGAGAAGAAGAAGCCTGTGCTTTTCACTCGTGTTAAGTTGCTTAAGCCTGATGATACTCTCACTTTAGGCCATGCTTATAGGCTCATCACAACTCAAGGTAGTTCCTTTTTTCGTTATGTTTTTTCTTCCTTCATGCTTTTGGTGTGTTTCTGAAAAGTGCTTGTGTTTTCTGGTTTGAAGAGGTTGAGAAGGTACTGAAAGCAAAGAAGAGGAGGACACATGGAAAGACAGAGGAGGGTGAGGAAATGGTGGAGCTGGAGAAGGAAAGTTCAGCTTGTGAGAGTGAAGGGATGTTGAACACAGGAAAGATGTATCAGGTTTGGTTCTGCTACTTATCTTCAACAGTCATTTTTGGTTTTGCTGTTTTGGTTAGTTAGAACTGATGCTATTACTGCATCACAAATTTCAGGCTATGAGAGCAGACAGACAGAGGCTAAAGGTAGCAGCACCTGTAAATCCTGCAGCACCAAGACAAAAACCATGGCGCCCGTCTTTACAAAGCATCTCAGAGTTTTCCATTTGAATAATGCTATGGATTGTGAAAATGTACTGTCTCTCATAACATTATTTGTTTGTCTCTTTCGTGTTCGATGCTCCTTTCCAGTGGATTGAGTTACATAATTCTCTTCCATTATAATCACCATGTTCAGTTACTATATGTTTGTATAGCACCCAAAAGAAATTGTGAATGCAAAATCAAAATCTATTAGAAGTTCTTTTTATTGTTACAGTTAAGGTATAAAAATGTTACAAGCATATGATGAATCTTTACAATGTAAAAAAGAGAGAAATGTGAAAATACAATTCATTTTAGTTTTGAGTTCCAAATTTTCCAATCTTCATCAACATAATTTTGTGCCCATAATAGTGATGCTCTAGCAGCCAGAGGTGCTCCTGGTAGTTTTTTCTTCTTTAAAGCAACCAACATATCCGTGAATGGCGTCACCAACAATGTCCCAGGACCTCCATACTCCTTGTGCAAAAACTTGCTAAATATCTGTTCTCCATTAAAGATTGGTTACTATTGTGTCACATTTAGTCGTTAGTTTAAAGTGAAATTAAACATGTTAGAAATCACAACAGAGTTTGAAGAAAACAGAGTAATATTTGTCAAAACCTTTGCAATTCGATCAACTCACCATCAATCCAAACATGCACACAATTAGATAGGTGACAAAAACAGTGCAATTTTTTTATGGAACAGACAAATTACAGAGAATGATTTTTGTTTCTTTTTATATATTTTTATTTTTACAAAAAGACTTAGATTTAAAAGGAAATGAAGGCGGTGTCTAATATGATCTATGGTAGACCAATGCTTAATAAATGGTTTGAAATTCCAACAGCTGGTGAGACTCCTCATAAGTAGAAATTCATAGTATTAATCTCCCTCATGATTGAGATGGTGACCCAATTGGTGCCTATTCGATTTGACAGAAATAAAATAGTGCCTCAAAACTTAGCCTTTTGCTCTTTTTCTCTTGATTTTGTTTAACCAACGACGATTAGATCACTAGATCACTATCTCAGTCGTAAGGACATAGAAAGATGAGAAGGAACACGAGAGGAAGCAGATGCATAATGAGTCAAAATGTCAACTAATCTCCATCAAAGAGGTAAACAAACAAAGATAGTCTTATCATCTACAATAACACTAAAGCCGGCTCTAAAGAAAACATGTAAACAAATGCACACGAAAGATTGATCACGCAGTTCGGCTAATTGTGTCTATATTTCCAACACCAGAATGACTATAGTAGTTTTTCCATAATGTAATTCTTAGTTACACAATACAACACAATGAATGTGAGTCATACTCAAAATAAAGTGGTCCGCAATGCTATTAAATCTAATTTGACTTTTGTGTATGTACAAATTCCTGAAATAGTCTTACTGTAACCATTAATGATCCTTCCAATAAAAACTTATGAATGTAGGTGGGGAAGGATTAACATCACAAGATATTGACATCACAACTACTATGAAAACGAACAGGGAAGACTTAATGTTAAAAGGCTAGATTTCAGCCGGGTTTGAATAAGTAAGCTGTAAGCAACTTTCTTTTAGAACTCTCACAATCAAATCTTACATATAAAATAATCATTGATTGACTCTCCAATGATGAATTGTATAACCAATATCATTGAATGGACCAAACAGAAAACAACAAAATTGTATATAAAATATATTTTTCTTTTTTTTCCTCCATTCAAAATATATATTAAGAGGTATCGACTAGTGTGTGGACAAAAGATAGAAAGACAGATGATTTTTCTATTACAATATATTTGCATCAAAGTTCAATCCTAAGTCCTTACCATTTTACTTTAATTTTGAATATTTCAAAGAACACATCCAAGAGCTAACAGTGAGATGCATGTCTTTTGTACATGATATAGTCCTACTTGAAAATTCGAAGAAGGATGTGAATAAGACGTTGAAGACTTAGAGACGAGCTTTAGAAACACATCAGAAGAAAGATGGAGTATATAGGATGTAAGTTCAACAAAAAGAGAAGCATTTCTAACCATGGAAAAAGTAAACAACATAAACTAACCTGAACACAAACGTCAACAACCGCATCAAGTTCATCGCCGAAGTCGTCTACATCCTCCGAAAGCTTCTGCAGGAGCTCAACTTTGAATTTGCGTGTCTCATATTCAGCGAATTCGGGGATTGGGTCAGGGTACACGTGCTGCTGTGTGAGGGTGGTTTTGGCGAAGAGGGGAGAACAAGGGAGTGGCTGTTGGAAATAGTGGCGCAGGATAAAGCAGGGTGTGCGCAGGATAAGGGGTTTAGAGGTTGGTGATTTTGGTGGAGAGAGAGTAACCGTTGTTGGGGAAGAAGATGAACATAAGAGAGAGGAATTGAATAGCAGCATTGGTGGTGTAGAGATTTGATTGATTTAGATAATCTTCCCTTCCCTGTAGTATTATTTTTTGACAGAAATTTTTTGTTCTTCAACGTTGTTAAGTGAATAAATTATTAATTTTTATTATTATTGATTTAGTAAGTTTAAGTTTAAATTATTAACATCATAAAAAGATTGATATTTATTATTTTTTATACTAAATAGGTGATTTTATTGGATAAAATAACTCAATAATAATTCCGTTAAATTAATTCAGTTGATACTTGTACAAAGACGTCAGTAGTAAAGTTGTGGGTTCGAATTTTGTGGTTGTGATCTTTCATATAAGGGTTTTAGTATGGTTCTTAACGACTCTTGTCCCTCAACTATAATGATAGTCATTTAGGTCGACAAATGTTAGAATGTAATTTGTTCTTTCAATTATGCTTTGTTTTTTTGTTTGGATTAGGTGTTTTTTAGGATATGTCTATACCAGCTTCATAAGTCTTAGAACCTTCTCTTTAGCTACTAATGTCGAAATAGATGTTTTGATTTGAGATCTCATTACCTTCTCTTCAGTCCCCAAACTATGATGTCGTCGCTAAAGTATGAGGTCTTTGTAATGTTTATAAAATCGTCATTCACTCCTTTACATATAGGATATCTCAAAATTTGCCTCACTTGCTTTTTCCTATGTTTGATGTAGTTTTTGGGAAAATGGGTTTTTCTTTCCGTTTACCACTTTTGAGCAAGAAGTTCTTTGTTATTTGGTTCTCACGCCTTCTTAGTTGCACCCTAAATGCAAGACATTTGTTTGAGCCTTTTAATCTGTGTGTAGGTAGCTGAATCATGAAGCTTCTTTCAAATTCATTTTCATGTCTTTTTGATTGGATGTGAAGGCTCTTCTTCTCCCTTTGGTTTGATTAACTTCGTTATGTTCAGAAACCAAAATTTGGATGTAGGTGATAAGTTGAGTATCTTGAATCGATGATGTTGGTCTTTGTTGTGGCGACATAGGATGAAGCTACATGGTTAGCACTCAAGCGCCCAAATCAGTTCAAGATTTAAGATGGGTGTAGTGAAAAATAGAGATCATGGAGTGTGTCTTGCTTTCAATGTGAACTAATTTTATATCTTAGGTCAAGTGGAGCAGATTTGAGTTAAGGGGGTCTCTTTCATTCGGGCCTTTGGTCGACCCATAATAGTTTCCCCTAAGGCTTTATCGGGCATTGAAATATTCGGGGAAGTCTTAAGTGATTTTAGTCGGTCTTCAGGATGTTATCCGGTGGGAGCCAGCACTAAAACACTTCGAATTATCTTAAAAAGTATTAAGGGACAAGCACATTAAATGCATTTATATCATTGAAACATCTTATCTCTTTCCCTTGACATGTGTGGTGATATGACAAGTTAGGGCGATATGGCTTATAGTGCACTCGAGTTTGTGAGTATTCCCAAGGGGAAATCCAGCCATTGATCTGGAAACTTTTCTCTCCTTCTTTGATTTGGTCGCTCAACCGCTTTCACCTATAAATAGAAAGAGATAGTCGTTGAGGAAACTTTTCCACTTCTTAACATTCAATTTCATTCAAAGTCACTTTATTAGTAAACATCGTCATCTTTTTCACCAGTGAGAACATTTGATCAAAGTCTTCACATTTATTCATTACTACACCCCTTTTTAACCTCGTATTTACTAGATACCCTTCTTCCTTCAAGCTTTTACCTTTAGCATTTTTTGTTTTTTAGTAATTATGAGTGATAATATTGTTAACCTAGCAAGTGATTCAGAGAGCAAAACTTCTTCTGTTGTGGAAATAGGGGTATCCCCTGATTCTCATCTCCCTCCTCTTGCTCATGATTGCATGGACCCAGAAGTGATATCTTTATATGATGATTTTACTTCATAAAGAGAGAATATGGGAATCCCATTGATGAAAGAGCTTCTTCATTTGACTCCTTTGAAGCCCTTTTATCGAATGAAGGTGAAAAGGAGGATCTTATCGAGGTCCTCATGTCCCCTCATGTTTTGAGTGGGGAGGAAATATAAGTTATTTAATAGATGAGGGAATGCACTGATGATTTTGTTTAACTTTCCACGAGGACCAATAAACATGTACCTAAAAGTGTTAAGGTGAAGGCCCCTCTATATTTTTGGGGAAGGTATGGTGTAGTGTCTTGGATCACCCTTGGCGATCATTCTAAAGATGATTTCCTAGCTTGGAGAGGCATGACTCTGGTGGAACCGATTCATGCAGTTAAGTATGGTTGGGTGGATGTTGAGGTGTTGGTACTTTGTCTATTTTGGATACTAAGGAAGCAATATAGGCTACCAAAATTATGGTCAACTACCATCAGGATTAGTTGGTTCTTCTATTGGTCCGGAGAAGACACTAGTATAAAAAATACATTTACCTTCAAATGCAAAGTTGATATAATCTCGGTTACAGAGACAAGGTAACAAAGAGTGTCATGATAACTTGCCACTTAATCTCTTGATTTTAGAATAGCCGAGTGGGTAGTTTAAATAGTCATTGGTTCGATCCCCAACAATAGCTTTTCATATTTTTTAAACTAATGACACATACCTCTCGGTTTATGACCATAACCGAGGGGAAAGATAAAATGTTTTTAAAAAAAATCAAATTATATTGTTTACACATAACATTAATAAATTATTTTGTTTACTAACTACTTTGTTTACAAAGAATATTACATTATTTACATATAATATTAAAGTAAAAATATATAACAAATTTTGAATTCAATTCATCATTGTCACTGTCAATGAAGATAAGATGTTGGATCTTTGAATCATTGAATCTTGGGGAGATAAAATGTTAGATATTTCTTGCATTTGTTTCTGATATAAAATAAAAAAGGATTAGATAAATAAAATAAATATTCAGTTATATGATTATTTAAGAACATAAACCTTGAAACCAAATAATTTTCTGCTCTTGAAGTCCATCATAGAGAACTTTTTCAAGCTTCTTTAAGTTTCAAAGTTTTCATTGTCAATTTTTCACATTCACGATACTTTTATAATGGTTGTTCTTTATGTTTCATACGGATCACTAATGTCATTTAGGGGTATTCATTATTTTGGTCAAATCCAAAACAAACCGAAATCCAAACCAAATTATGGTATTTAGATTGGACTTTTTTTAGTTCTAGAAAAAACCAAACCAAACCAATGAAATCTGGTGTTAATTGATTTGGGCAACGGATTTCCAAATTCTACCTGCGAGTCCATCTACCTGAAGCAACCATAATTAATTTGTATAATTTATATCATCATTATCATGGAAACTAGTATAAGGTATTTAACTTCAAGAGAAAAAAATAAACATCATTTGTGACATTCCCAACCTATATGGGACGTGAAAAAATTCAGGATTTTATATTATTATGGAAAATTAGTTGATGTAAATTAGATATTTATTTAAAATATTTTTGAAAATTTATTTCTAATGTATCCTATCAATCCAACTCAAACCAACGAGTTATTTCTCAGTTTGGTTCAGTTGGTATTTGTTGCAAAAATGTGCAAATCCAATCCAAACCAAACCATATATTTTTGATCGGTTTGGGCATCGGGTTCTCTCAAAATTGAACCAAATCGGCCCATGAACATCTCTAATGGAATTGTATTGAGTGTTGATACTCATTAAGTGGATGACAAATATTTGTTTAAGAAAGGTGAAGAAACTTAATAAACACAACTTATATTTCCCCTTGGTTATGACTCAAAATCGAGGTAAAAAATACAATAAAATATCCCTTGGTTTCTGTTAAAATCGAGGGGAAATAGTTTTTTTAAAGTTAAATTACATTACACATAATATTAAAATACATTGTTTACAACAAATCCAGATTTTGAACAAATCTCATTCATCATTGTCACTGTTATTCTTGAAGAACAACAAATCTATGTTATTATCTAGATTTTTTTGTATACCCTTTGTGCCCGTTCTTTTCAAGTTCAATGGATTTTATATGTGTCCAACTTCTGATAAGTTATTTGTTCCAACCATGTGAAAATGTTTTTTTCGCACTTGCAATTCATCCCAAAGATACATCGATAAACCTTCTGTAATAACCATTTAGGGATGACTATTATGTAGTTGTAATTGCAAACAGAAAAGGAGAACCTCTTACTCAAGCACTAGTACCATCTAAGAATCCCACAACTGATGATTTATTTCCTTCAAACCTTCCACCAGGAGGATGCTACTTCTATTTTCTATTCTTGTACTAATTACTTTCCCCAAGAATGCTTGTTGTCAGCAGTTAAGGGACAGAGAGAAGGTGACAAAGGTAATCCTACTACGACACTAAAACTCATTAAGTCTATTGGAGACTATTCCCACCGCACAACTACTACTGTGAGGGAGGAATTTGGTTTAAAGCTTGTTTTGTTGCAGCGAATAAGGTTTGAAATTCATTACACTTCTTCTCTCCCTCTTTCCTATGCTAGCAATCTGGTAATTCGGTAAAGAAGAAAAGTAGGAAGTCCAGTAAGCCAGTGAGAGATCCTGGGAAAGCCAGATATGTGATTTCCTTACTTTTTATTATACCCTTATAGGGAAAACAAAATAATACATACCAATGCCTTATCTCGACATTAAGAGCTCATTAAAAAGGTAAGAAGGAATGGTCGGATGTAAAGAGATGTCTCTAAGACTAGTGAAATCATATAAGAAGATAAAAGAGTAAGGCTAGCAATTTGGCATAAAACAAATAAATTACTTATATTTATCCCTAAAGGAGATCGAGATTGGTATTAGTTACTTTATCGAGGCGAGGATGGGAAGACAATGACATTGATAAAAAAACCTCTTAGTAAAGAAAGAACAGACTTAGAGCTTAGAGGCAAATGCACCAAAGAAAGGTAAAGGCCATACTCCTAATTCTAAGTAGCCTTTGATTCTTGCAACTCTCACATGAATTTACTTTTTTCGCTTTCATTAAGGGAAAAAGTCTGTCTTTACAACACAATAAAGAGATAAAATTTATGTACTAGAGAG